AGGACAATAATGACACACTCATTCGACGAGTGCTGGTATGTATTTCCCATTGATGAACTGACATGTACTGGCCTTGTCTCACTCTGTGTAGTCGCTGGGCCTTGCTCCCATACGCATCCTGACCTCTCGCGCCGCCATCAAAGCCTACCTCTCGACCATCCTCTTTCTGGGCACCTCGACCGTCCTCCTCGCCCTTTCCTCCACCGCCTATGCCTTTTTCTATTACAACTACATTCCACAGATCAGTCTTGAACGCGTCCTCTACTTGCAGTATGGCACAGATTTCCCTCCGTATGCGACGGCGGCGCTGGACACAAACGCACTGGTCTCGCAGCAGGCGTACAATGTGGAGTTGATCCTGGACATGCCTCGCACCCCGACCAACCTGCAGGCCGGCAATTTTATGCTGGATCTGTCCCTGTTGGGCTCCAAGGGCGTGCCGGACGCCGTGTCTTCGTGGTTGGGCAACATCACGGTCGAGAACGTGCTTCATCACTCGCGGCGGCCTGCGATCCTGCCCTACGCGTCCCCCATCCTGTCGCTCAGCCATACCGTGCTCCACCTGCCCTGGCACCTACTCAACTTCCGCGATCTGGATCGTTCTCGCTTGGTCGTGCCCATGTTCGAAATGCTGGTCTTTCCGAGGGGCGCGCGAAACGTGCCGACCCACGCCAGACTCGAGGTGCAAGCCAGCAGTGTTCTGCAGGTGTACGATGCGAAATTGGCCTTCAGGGCAAAATTCCAGGGCATGAGGTATCTCGTCTACAACTACCGAGTGACGTCTTTTGTGGTCTTCACGGCCTTGTTTTACGGCGTCAGTGTCACGAGCATGGCCTTGGGATGGGCCCTGATTTCGCATATGCTATCAGGCAGTGGTGCGAGGCAGGGGAGGATCAAGATGGAAGGACGAGATGGCACGACGACGAACACGCCTATCAAGACAGAGCAGGGATCGTCCTCGGGCGCTGCCACCGCCAAAATCAAGACAGAAGACGAGGCTGAATCGTCCGGTCCGTTTGGTGGCGGTGGTGGTCTGTCCCTCTCCAATATCTCGGACACGCCGACCCAGTTTCCCACCGGGAGAGGCCGACTGCCCTTGTCCTATCCGGGACGTGCACCCTCCGAGACAGAAGGGAGAGAAAACGTCGAAGCGGAAGAAGACCGTCTGCGAAGGCCTATGGGGCCAGACGAGGCTGCCGACGACGAAGACGAAGGAGACTTTGAAGGGTCAGAGCTCCGCGGCAGACGGCTAGAAGGTGACTCGGGGATCGGGACCAGCATGGAAAGCGAGCACGCTGGATCAGGGGTTGTGCGAAAAAGAAGTTCGAGAAGTTTGCCCAAGAGATGAAACCGAAGTCCGGACAGTGGCAGGAAGAAGAGGATTTCATGACCCTCCCGGAACTGTATATCATACCTACACATCTATATACCCGACGAAAGAGAGAAAAGAGCACAGAATTATCAACCAACCGTCTATGAGCACCCATGCGAGTGGCTTTTCTTTTTCTCGTCTGGTCCTGTCTTGTTTTATTCTGTCCCATCTTGTCCCATCTTGTCCCATCTTGTCTTGATTTATCTCGTCTAGGTAATCTAGCATCTATATCTATCGACTCCATCCTAAGAATGGCCAAAGCTCTTGGTTCTAGGAAAGGAAACCATTCGCAGGACAGCTCCGCCCACCAGCTGAGAAAGAATGCACAGCTCAGCTCGACTCGACTCTACATCCTCCCGGCTCCTTACAAAGCTCTGTGTGGGGAAAAAAAAAGGCAAGTTGAAGAGCAGTTTGTATGTTATAGCTCTCTCCCCATGGCCTCTCTCGGTGTCTCTGTCTTTGCCGGTGTCCCTCCCTCTCACTCCCGTTCTCTTCGCTGTCTCACAACTTGGCCATTCCCCTCCGACCCGTCTGCTGCTGCTGCTGCTGCCGCTGCCGCTGCGGCGCGCGCTCCAAGTCCCTGAAGCGCTCATACTCTGCCAGACAGGCGGGGTTCCTGACGGTGGAACTCGTCTTGACGACCTGGCCCGAAATGACGCGCTTGACGGCGACCTCGACCTTTTTCCCGTTGACCGTGTAGGGGATCTCGCGGACCTGCTCGATGAATTTCGGCACGTGCCGCGGCGACAGACCCTCGCGGATGGCGGTGCGGAGCTGTTCGACCAGTCCGGGGGTGAAATCTGCGTCGTGGCCGGGGGCCATGACGACGAAGAGGAAGACGGTTTCGTCCTTGTCGTGCGCGCGCCGGCGCCCCACGCACAGCGTGTCCGAGATCAGCGTGTTGAACTGCGGGCCTTCGACGATGTTGTAGACCTCGGACGAGCCGAAGCGGATCCCGCTTGGGTTGAGCACCCCGTCGCTGCGCCCGAGGATCTGGAGGCCCTTGGTCAGAGGGTTCATGACGATGAAGTCGTGCTGGGCCCACACGTCGAGGTATTCTTCTCCGTCGGCAGCGGCGGTCTTGTCGGTACTGTTGTTACTGAGTGGAAACTTTTCAAAGTACGCCTCGCGGTATTTCCGGTGGTCGGGCGTGTCGCCCCAGAACCTGCACGGCATGCTGGGAAAGGGCTTGCGGCAGACGAGTTCGCCCGGGCGGCCCTCGGCGGCGCAGGACCGGCCCGTCTCGCTGTCGAGGATGTCGCAGTCGTGACCCAGCGCCCACATCTGCATCTCGTTGGCGTAGACGGGGCCGGCCGGGTTGGTGGCGATCCACGACGAGGCGATGTCGGTGCCGCCGGCGACGCTGGATAGGTGGATGCGTCGCGGGAACGCGCGGTAGAACCAGTGGAACTGCTCCCCCGTGAGCGTGGCGCCCGTTGTCGTCACCAGGGCGAGGCGCGACAGATCGAACGCGTCCGGCCGGATGCCCGACTGCTCGAGCTCGAGCAGGTAGCGGGGTGACGTGCCCCAGTACGTGGCGCGGAACTGGGCGCAGATGCGCAGCATCGTCGACGGGTCCGGGTGCAGCGCCCCGCCGTCGTAGCAGACGACCTTGGCTCCCACGGACAGGTGGCCGTTCATGACGTTCCACAGGATCCAGCTCGTCGACGAGAACTGGAACACGGTCGACCCTGGACCCAGCCCGTTGTGTAGCAGCGAGATCTTCTTGTAGTTCAGCACCGACATGTGCGGCGACACGATGCACTTGGGCTCCCCCGTCGTGCCCGAGCTGTACACGATCACCAGCGGATGGTCCGTCGGCACGCGCGTGTATGTCAGCTTGTCACCGGCCCGGGCCTTGGTGAGGAATTCGTGCAGCGAAATGGCGCCCCCAACCGGCTTGATGTAGTCCATGTGCTGCTGCCGGTGCGGGCGGTGGCACGTGGGCACGAAGACGAGGCGCGGCTTCGCTTTGGCCGCCGGCAGCGCCTTGAGCACCTGCATGACTTTGCCCAGCATCGACGGCCGCGTGCCACGCACCGCCACGTCGACGTCGGCGAACAACCACTTGGGCTCGACCTGGGCGAACCGGCTGACGCAGCCCGAGACCCCCAGGTCCGGGGACACGGAGGTAAAGATGGCGCCTATGGACGCGGTGGCCAAAAACAGTACGATGATCCAGACCGAGTTGGCCATCAGCCCGGCCACGACGTCGCCCTTCTTGATCCCTCGACGCACCATGGCCGAACGCGCCACGCGCACCAGCTCCGTCAGCTCAGCCCAAGTGATCTCCTCTGGGTCGTCAAGGCGATTCTCGCGTAGCCCGACCAGTGCGACGGCATTTGGATTCGCGGCCGCGTTAGGAACCAGCACGTTCTCCGCGTAGTTGAGTCGGAGGCCCGGGAAGAAGGTCGGAATGTCACGCAGGCGTGCTTTCGGATTGTATGCCAGTTTCGTGTGCTTGGGCAACGAGGGCACAATCCCGCAGTACTCGTACAGGTCGATCCAAAACTGGTGCGGGTTCTGCACCGTCCAACTGTGCAGCTCATGCGAGTCACGCAGCGACTGCGAGAACTTTGTGTTGACGTGCTGGCGGTACCGAGACATGGGCGGCGCCTCCGGGTCTGCTGGTGTCCATAGTGGCGTCGGCAGGGATGTGCTGTTTGAGTCTGTACTGGAACTGGGATTTTGGTTCCTAGATGGGGTCGAAGACGACGAGGATGTTCCTGGACTGTCAAGTGTCCTTTTGGCTTGATCCCGATACTGCTTGGAGCAGTACTTCATCGGCAGTCCGACTGCATTACAGGACGCTGGTGACTCTGACGGCATTATGGCTTTTAGTAAGAAGTCCCGCTTCTCTCGATCTCTTTCAAGGCGTTCTACCCGTTGGGTTTCTTTCTGTGTCGAACAACCTTGACCGCCGCCTGCGAACAGAACCTCGATCAAGTAGGAGCTGTTGTGTTCTTGGTGTGCGACTTTCTTTCTGGCAATCTCCGAGCAATCAATTAGATACGCCAATTGCACAATCACTGCCGTTGTAGCTGTATTGTCTTTACTCTTGTCCTGTAGTCTCGCGAAGCGCCTTGGAACAATTATATCTCCCTCTTCTGTTCTTAGCTCTATTGGGCTCTCCCTCTCTTTTCATAAATGAAATAAATCACAAGGAAATCAAGCTCAAAAAGAGGGTGGCATTGGAGTAAATGAATGGGAACGAGGACGGATAAAGCCCGGATCGTTTGGAGCTACATATGTAGGTAAGAAATAGTATAGCCCGAGTATTCGTTGAGGAAACAGAGAGAGGGTACGGATCGAGCTCGGGCGCCACGCATATACTCCCACTACCCATGTTGGAGAGAGCCTCGGCAATAAGTAACAAAGTTGTGTGCGATAGCCGCGACAGCAAGGCTGAGGATTGGGGGAGAAGTGGTGGAAGACATTAAGTTGGGGTCATTGGAGGGTGTGACAAGGATGAGTCATGCTTGGCAAGGCTGCGTGCGGGGAGTGCAAACTGCGACAGACTGCGAACCTTCACTCTGATATCGAGGAAATAACCGCTCTGTTTATACGTCCTAGAAAATATCCCCGCTATCATTGCTGCAGACTATGTCTCTCACATCGGTCTATTGAATCACCTCTTCCACTTCCCCGTCTTGATCTGCAACTCAGGCAGCCGCAGCGCCAGACTGCTCATCACAACACTTACACTACTCGCCGCCATGGCGATGCTCGCCCAAACCGGGTTCAGCCTCCACCCGCCATGGTGCTCGTTCGCTCCAATAGGAAAGAATACCCCCGCCGCAACAGGGACCAAGCACAGGTTGTACACCGCTGCCCAGGCAAAATTCAACTTGACTCGTAAAAACACCCGTTTGGCAAGTCTAACGAGCGAGAGGATAGTATTGAGGTCGGAGTTGAGGAGGATGAACGATGAAGTGGTCATTGCCACATCAGAACCGGAAGAGAGTGCAATGGACACATCGGCGGCAGATAGAGCAGGGGTATCATTTGTGCCATCACCCACGAACCCAATGATCTTGCGACCATCCTTTCGATCCGTGGGTTCGCCAGAAGATAAGCCTTGCAGCTCGCGGATATAGCTGGCTTTGTCCTGTGGAAGGACACCTGCACGCACGTTGCTGGCGGGAATCCCAAGCTGGGAGGCGATGGCCAAGGCCGTAGTTTGATTGTCTCCTGTGCACATGTGAATATCGAGCCCGACGCTGCGTAGAGATTCGAGTACTTGGGGTGCCTCAAGGCGGATCGGGTCTGCGATTGCAAAGACAGCCAAAGCCTGATAAGATGACGATGACTTGGCCTTCTCAGCGTCTTCCGGCACCTGTCGAACAGCAAAAATAGCGGTTGAATGACCGAGAGATTGGTGCTTCTTGAGTATCGGGTTGAGGTAGAAGTCGTCGCCTTTGATCGTTAGGGCGACTTTATCTTTGGTGGCAGAGAACTCCGAGCCCGAATTTTCAGCCGGACAAAGGTTCTGTAAAAGTCTCTCGTTTCCGATGGCAATCTCATATCGTGAGGTAGAGGAATCGCCTTTGACCAGAAATTTACCTGTCATTCCCTGCCCGGGAATCTCTTTGATCTCCTCAAGGTCAATCGAAACACTTGTCGAGTGCTCCGCGCAGTAGCTTGCGACAGCTTTTGCGATCGGATGCGCACTTGCCTCCTCGAGCATGCGAGATGACGCTAGGATAATGTTCTTGTCAAGTATCGCGTCACTGCTTTGACTGTTCTGGATACACTCAAAGTCGGTGACCCGCATTTGGCCCTCGGTCAACGTACCGGTCTTGTCGAAGACAATAGCGTCCAATCGCGATGCCTCCTGGAATGCCTCACCACCACCTTGTACGAGGACGCCTTGTTTCGCGGCCAATCCACCCCCAACGAAGAGTGCAGTGGGTGCGGCAAGGCCAATGCCACACGGGCAAGCCACCACGAAGACGGCGATGGCGAACTCAAGAGACCAGAACGGCCAGCCTCCCTGCGTCACATCAAGCCATGCCTGAGGAAGGGTTCCGGACAAGCCCAAACCCATCCAGATTACCCAGGTTGTGATGGCAATGAGCGTGATTACTGGGACAAAGTACCCTGTGAGGATATCTGCAATGCGCTCAATGGGTGCTCTTTTCGCCTGGCCTTCGCGGACAACGCTTACAATCCGGTCTAGCATTGATGTGCCACCAACGCCGGTCACTCTAATCCGCACAGGGTCGGATACATTCACAGATCCCGTAAAGACCTCGTCGCCAGCAGTCTTCGTGACTGGCTTCGATTCTCCAGTTAGCGAGCTCTCGTCGAAGAGAAATGTGCCTTGGCTAATGATGACGCCGTCAGTTGGGGGAGACGTTCCGTGAGGAATCTGAACAAGATCGCCTGTCTCCAGCTGATCAACGGGAATGGTTTCGGTGCTAGCGGATGCATTGTCGCTCGTGTCCTCTTTGACAAGCAGAGCAGTTGAAGGTCTGAGATTGCTGAGCATCGCCACAGCATCACCAGTCTTGGTCTTGCTGTAGGCCTCCAGGAAGCGACCAATCAGGATGAAGAAGGTGAGGAAGGTTACTGTGTCGAAATAAGTATCCGAGGAACGATGCTGGTCCATGTCGGTTGATTTAGTCGTAGCATCCATAATAAGAACAGCCAACGAGGAGAAATAGGCTACCGAAGCTCCTGCACTGATCAGAAGATTCATGCTGCCAAACCGGTAAAATCGACGTAGAAGGGGTATTTTGCTGTTCGGCCTCCACATCGCCTTGATTTCCTTGTATGCGCGGGAATGGAAGAGATCTGTGCCAAAGAACATGACCGGTGTGGTCATGAAGAAAAGTGCCCACTCGAGCCGCATAGCTTGACCGGCTAAAATGGGCTGTTCCCACCAGCGCCTCGTAGAATTGGATTTTGGAACCAAGCTCATGTACACGACCCCGACGATGAAAGTGGGGATAGCCACTATGCCGGTGAACAGTAGCCGCCAAAGGATATGCTTCATTTCTTTCCGCTGTAATCGTCGCGATCGCTCTTCTAGCGTTGGCGGATGATATACACTTGCCTTTAAAGCATCATGCGACGCATCGATGGCGGCTATGAAGCTGCGTACATTGACTTGGCGTGAAGGCCGGTAGGTGACGGTGATGATCGGGTCTTTCAGCGTGGGTGGTTGAGTTATGGTATAACTCGGTTCGTCAACACCTGAGAGTGCAGAGTGGATAGCGGTTGTGATATTCTGAGGACAATGTTCACAGTACATGCCGTCGACCTTGAGCTGGATTGTCCTCTCTTCTCTTGGGGCCCCGGCCGACTTGGCAGTGCTCTCTAATTTGATAACAGACGCTTCATAACCCAGGTCCTCAATCTTCTCCAGTATTGCTTCAAGATGTTGTTTCCCGCGGAAGATCACAAGGCCGCGGTTCCCAACGAGGTCAATGTTGACATCTTGGATGAACGGAAGCTCCTCAAGTCCCCGGGAGATCGTGCCGACACAACTTCCACAGGTCATCCCTTCAATGCTGAGGGTAACTTTATGGCTCTCGTGTTCATCGTCAGAGAGAGGCTTGTCCTGCACTAATGGCTGTGTATCATCGATGACGGCCTCATATCCTAGCTCTTCAATCGCTTCGACGAGTTTGTCCGAGTTGCTTTGGGGTCCTTGATAAACCACTCTTGCATCATTCCTCATTAGATTGACATTTACTGAATCCACAAAATCTAGACTGTCAAGGCCCTTTGTGATTGAACTTGTGCAAGAGGCGCATGTCATACCGCCAATCGATATGGTGGCAACATAGTGGCAAGGTGCACTCTCTTCTCCTGCGCCATCGACATTTTTGCTTGACAGCTTGTGTTCTGCCAGTGTGTCGTCTGAAATCGCGGCCTCTTCGTCGGTAGATGTCTGTTTCGGATGCGCTTGCCGGCGGCGCAGTCGCATAAGAGAAGACCATGATAGTTTTGGCCTTGATCGTTGGCCTTTTTCGCGTTGACACGCCTTGCAGTTTTCTATGTGTTTGCGTTGGGCACGGGACATGAGCCAGCGGGATCGAGAGAGCTGGGCGTTTGCAGGGCGTGGTGACACATCGGAGTCGTGAGACTGAACCCCGTCGGCTCGGATGGTTGTGACATGCTCGACTTCGAAAGCTGACTTGATTAGTTCACTGACAATGACTTCTCGTGTGGAGTCCTGTGCATGTTTGACGCGGATGGTTTGGTCAATAAGTGAGACTTGGATGGACTGGATTCCTGGGATTCCATTTAGTGTATCTTGAACATAGGACACGCAAGACGGGCAGTGGATGTTTGACACTAAGAACGTGGAGGTGTAGGCCATGGCTGGATGAAGGAGCAAAGAGACGTGTAACACTCAAGGCGTCTGGTCGGTCTGGAAATTGGCAGACAGTACAATGGCTTCGTGGAGAAAGAGATGAGATACGACAAGGACAGAAGCAGACATATTGAAGTGGCTCAGTCTTTATCCTCCCATATGATATTGAGAGGTTTGTGCGTACAGCGATTCAGCAGATTTCACTCGAAAACCTTCAGTTAGATCAAACACGGCATTGAGTTGATGATAGGTCGAGAAGTCGTGGATCATGCAGTGGATGAGAGCAGGATGCGCGACTTGTGCGTTAAATGACGACGGAGTGCAAGAATGTCATAGAAATGGTGGAGAAGACACGCACCGGGATGACACAGGCCAATCACGTGCATCTGATCCCAAGATGATCACGTGCAGATAGCAATCCTGCGACCTTCACTTCTAATAGCGAAACTAGTCGCTTTCTTCTCGAACTCGACATTCCTCCAACCAACAATACCAGGTCTAACGCTCAGCCATTTCGTCTCCCCTATTGAAATTGACAGATTGTCAAACATGGAGCTGATGCATTTTTGATGCCAGACGTTGCTGCTGTGTATCCATCTTTCGGCCTGGCTTCTTCCCAATCAAGACCCATAACTAAATGTCGAACTGAACCCCTAGCAAATCGCGGTCTCAGCTGGCATGGCCTCCCCACCGAGGAATACCTTTGTTCCTTCCGACTCCTTCAATGATCCTAAGAGTCATGTCACACATGATGACAACAATAACAACTCGACGACACAATCCAACTACTTTAATATCCCCGCTGCTGCTCCAGCCTTAAGTTTCAATGTCACACACGACAATCTGAATGGCAGTGTCGAGTTGCTGGCTCCTCAGCACGTCGCCAAGCAGCCTTCTCCACACGCGAGTCTCAATCCAGCATCTCATTCAGGCTCCGGACCTCGCCAGGGATCATTCACAGATATCTTACCTCACGGTCATACTCCACCTCCGCTTATCAACTCAAACATACCTACTTTAAGAACCGTCATACCCAGCCTTCCCGCAGATGTCAACGCCGTTCTCATCGATGCGCAGACCAAAACCGACCCTGATTTTCGATGTTCCCTACCGTCTTTGAGCATGAGTCAGACACAGAACCTCTCCTCTGTTAGTAACGCCAACGACGACGAAAATGACACAATAACTATCGTGGATAGTGGTGCGAACCACAATAATGTTAGGGATGGAAATACGTCGACAATAGCAGTCAATCAAAACAACGTATCGGGCAGAAACAAGCAATATATCCTTTCCGACGGTTCTGTGGTCTCTGGTAAGGGGCTTGGTAGAGGCCGACCAGGCGTCAAACGTGGGCCACGAAGCATCAGAACTCCAGATGCTGACCCGAGCTCACCCCAAGTGGTACCCACGAACGCATCGGACCAGCCTTCTTACCACTTTGGACCTCCTAGCAAGAAAAGAAAGAGTGGTGTGTCCGAGACGTCAGAGTCTAATTTACGTGCATCGACTTCAAATTCCACAGCTACCCCATCTCGAGAGAGCTCCGAAGAATACAACCCTTCTGCGCATACTCGCTCCGGAAGGCCAGTCCAGAAGCCTCTCTCTCTCGGCGACGGTACTCCTGTGCAAGCGAGTCCCTCAAGGAAACCGTCTCGAAACAACTCTACAGCCCATACGATGTCGAATTCTCCTGCGTCCACTAAAACTCACCCAAAGATCAAACGCAGAGTTTACCGGGGACGTGAGCAGTTTGCGCTTTGTGAGCATTGTTTGCGCGGGCATGGTCCTCCGGGAAATGTGATTGTCTTCTGCGATGCGTGTAACAAGTGCTGGCATCAACGCTGTCATGAACCCCGGATCTCTACACACACGGTTACTGACTCCAAAGCTGAGTGGTTCTGCTCTGAATGTGACCGTATTCTGCATGGGAAAAAGAAGGATAAGAAGATAAATGGGAAAGGAAGCACCCAGTCCGCAGTCGTGGCATCTCCCGTCGTCGAGCCAAAACCCACTTTCACTGGGCCACGAGTAGGAGGTCGTTTCCTCCGCCTCGAGCAACGACAAGCGTACTTGAAAACGCTTTCCCGAGATGATCTTGTGGCATTAGTTCTTCAGGCTTCAGATCTGGCACCGGACTTGCCTTTGTTCCAAACCCCGGCGCCTCCACAATTGGCAATGCCCCAAGCGCAGTTCACTTCTACCTATGTAACACCAGTCTCGAAAGTTCCTTCCTTTGGCGACAAGGATGCTGGCGAGGACCATGAGGTAGATGAAGGGTATGACGGCTACTTTGACGAGCTCGCCGCACTATATCCCAAACCCGGAAATGGAGTGCAACTGCCACCAGAGAGCGAGGATTTACATATTTTGCTGGAGGGCAAAGGCAGCAGAACTTTTAGTCACTGGGTGAAAGGAACGCAGGGAAATCTGTTCAGCGGATCCGGGAACATTTCTTCGACAATCTACTGATGCTTAGGGCAGACGTGGTTAGCAGTGTATAGGCTCTGGTGAGCAGACTCAGATCGTTCATCAATATCACTTCCCAAGTGATTGAAGTCCCACTGTTCCAATTCTATAAGAATAGGGACTTCGGATATCTTCTCCGGTACTCGCTATAGTTGCCTTCTTACAGATTGTGGCTTATCCCAAGTCCCGACGACGTTCCTCGTCTGTCTGAAACTCTCGCGTCCTCTGATCCTGTCTCTGACCACAGACGGACTCGCAAAATATCCTCTTCGAACTAATGTCCAGAGGGTGCTTTCCTCGGAATGGTACAGTTCTTTTGTGCATGACCCAATCTCTGGTCTGTAGAGGAATAGCGCATTCATTTCGCGGCTGGCGTCTTCCGAAGCGACCTGCGGGAGAGGGGGATCTCTCTGCACCACGCTATAGATTCATGGAGGCCCACGTCTGCGCATAGTATTAGGACATTGGTTTTGAGAGGGAAAAGGTATCATATGCTTACTGTTTCATGGTTGGAGCTTTGTCGTTCTCGTTCGCCGGTAGGTGACGATCATGCAAAGGCCAAGAGCCCCGGTGATAACGTGTCCGAGTCGTGGCTATGTGGAGCTGAATGGCTGCAGTTGAAGCTAGTAGACAGAGATCTGGATATAAATTGACAGAGGTTCACTCTCAGAACGTGAAATCTCAATGTCACCAGGACCACTGCGGTGGCCTTCTGGCCGCTCGCGGCTGGCCGCAGTGCCGTGGGGGAAAATAAAGGAAAGAACACCTTGCCTCACCTTCTTTCAACGACGATGTGTCACGCCCCAGCCGCCTCCATGATTCCAGAAGACTCACTGATTCTTCTAGATTCACAAGCGAAAGTGATTGTTGCGCGCCAAGACGAGATCCGTCAATTGAGCTCGCACGAAAGATCCCCGTCAAGAAATGAAAGATGCCGCGACCTCTTCATCCTTGCCGTTCACAGTTTCGTGGCATTGAATCTACCCTTCCTCCTTGCTGCGCACGATTTTGCGGCGCAGATGACTTCAATGCCGCGACTTCATCATGGCCGCGACCGTGAAGTCTTATATTTCCGCCTCTTCAGCAGGACAAAGCCTTAGCTGTCTCTCCGTGAACGTCCTTTCTCCAGAGCCGCGCCCTCGCCTTCCCTTCACAGATGATGGTCCTGGGAAGCTCTCGATATCTGGTCCGCGCCACGATAACGACCATGAAGACTACAGAAAGATCAAGATCCTCCCAACTGCCGATGAAATCCTCGCCGTCTATCGACCAACATTCATGCCCAAAAAAGATCTCTACACACAACACTTCCTTGGAAACGGGCCTGGCAGGCTATTGGATACGCTTTTCAGGCAACTTCGATATGACAGCATTGAAAGCATTCGGGACATTTGCTACTCAGCCTCACAAGTGGCATTCCTGGGCACCGGTACCGCTCCTGAAGATCATGTTGTCCGTCGCGAGACCATGTCTGGCAACCGATATTTCCTTTACAACAATATTAAGGTCGAAGAATTGCTTTCCCATGAACAGATGGCGATGACGGTCCGTGTCAGTTACGACTGCCCTCTGTTCATGAGGGCGCAGAAGCTTTACCACTCCGGCCGTTTTCAAAAAGGCATGCTTGTTGCGTTGCTACAACTGGACCATGCCACCATGAAGTTGGCTGTCTACTTCCTCGAGGTTCATCAAGCTCAAAGCACCTTTTCTATGGAATGCTTTGACGGACGTGGCACTCGAGCAGCAGTCCAGCTCTCTTTCCTCCCAACAACCACCCCCGATGACGTCCTTCAACTCTGCCGCCATGCACTGGGTCTTTGCGGAGGAAGCGAACTCTACCTGATAGAATTTCCCAAGGTTCTCTTCGCCGGGCTTTACAACTGTCTCAGGCGGCTGCAACAGATGAGAGAGTCAGACTTCGCTTTCAAGAGCTATGTCGCTCCTGATAAGCATCCCACCGAGGCCTACTCTGCCGCACAGCTGCACTCTATCGCCGGTATCCCCTCCCAGTTCCTATGTCCCCCTCCTTCTTATGCCCTCTCGTCGGAATTCTCATATAATCTCACGAAGCTTGTCCCACCGACATGCCCAATTGCCTCTGCGCCGGTAAAGGAATTGTCGCGGCCCTCCACTCTAGAGATCTTCAACCGCGAAACCACCTTGGATGAAGGTCAAGCGGTAGCCTTTAGAGACAGTCTCCTGCGGGAGTTTGCATGCACACAAGGTCCACCTGGATGCGGCAAGACTTTTCTTGGTGTCCAGCTGGCTAAGACGCTTCTCGACTCCCGCACGTCACAGAAACCTATCCTGCTGGTGTGTCTCACGAATCATGCCCTGGACAGTTTTCTTGCCGACCTGCGAGATGCTGGTGTATCCAATCTACTTCGAGTCGGTTCCGCTAGCAAGGAAGCCTGGACGGGGGCAATCAATCTCCGCAACTTGCGACGAAAGACACGATTGACTAAAGAGGAGTCCCAAATGCTGCATGCCCATGACCTCCAGAAGAAGCTGCTGTTTGCAGAGCTCGATTCATTGTG